GATCATCAAGAAGATCATACACCCTGACCAAGTGGGATTCATCCCAGGGATGCAGGGATGGTTCAAGATTCGCAAATCAATAAATGCAATACACTACATATCAATAGAGCCAACAACAAAAACCATATGATCATCTCAATAGATGCAGAAAAAGCATTTGACAAAAATCCAACTATTAGTATTTTAAAACTACTCTTACGTGTGACTCTCTAAATTAAATGTAGGGTGGACTGTACAGTTGGCATCATTTCTGGAATTTTAAGTATTTAAGGTAAAATAGTAAAATGAGATAAGACTATTTTTTTTTCTTCCAGACACTATGTAGTTTAGGCTATCCTTGAACTCATTATGTAGCCAAGGCTGGCCTCAATCTCATGGCAATCCTCCTGCCTCAGCCTCTTGAGTGCTGGGATTACAGGCATGAATCAACACGCCTGGCAAGACAACTGTTTTTTGGTACCAGGGATTGAACTCAGGACCTTGTGCTTTTGAGGCACTGCGCCACTGAGCTAAATAAATCCCTGGCCCACAATTTTTTTTAACATACAACAGTATATACTAAGTGGTGCTTTAAGACTTTTTAACAGAAATTTCATACATTTCAGGTTGAATTACAACAAAAATTGATATTACTCTAGTTTTAAGAGAAGTATAACTAATTGGAACCTTAGCTAACATTCACACCTCCTTTGATTCATCATAACAGACAACAGATAAAGTAGAAATATGTACTGAGAATTTGATCAACTTAGAATGGTGGTAACTTCATTATATGTGAAATTATTCTGATTGAGAATCTTTCTGTTTTTCTCTCTGTACCAGGGATAGAACTCAGGGCCTTTTGCTTGCCAGGCAGGTGCGGTGCCACTGAGCTAAATCCCTGGCCCTTCTGAGAATCATAAGCCTCAGTGTATATGTATATCTTACAGATGAATACATGTCTGCTATGGGAAGACAACAGATGGAAAATGAGTTTAACTAACACAATGATGAAAACTCAAAAGGAACAATAAATAAAGGAAGAGGCAATGACAAAACAGAGATGGAAGGCCCTCAAAGGAATACTGGAGGGCACTGGCTAAACCATTATAACACTAATCAAATATTTACAAGTATATAAGCAAAGTAGTATTGTGGTATGACAAATTAGGACATGACACTGAACCTCAGTGAATACAATTTATAAAAGCCCGACATGCAGTATTCATTTTAATACTCACTTATTAAATAAATGAATCACCAAATCACAAATTACCAAAACTCCCAAGATTAGTCTAAGAAGTAAAGAACAAAAAAGGCTCTACCTTGTCAATAATGGACTGCATATGAGATTTATGAGACTGGTCTCCATAAAGCAGAGAGGACCATTGATCTGGTGCAATTCTCAAGCCTGCTTCCATAGCAATCTGCACTATCTGGGAATCATGCTCTCGTCGCAAAGCTTCATAGGTTCTGAATTCTTCTTTCAGCTGCATCAAAGAAGAATCTTCATCACGCTTGGTGACCTAGTAAGATATAAATAATCTCATAATAAGAGGAAAAAACCCAGTTAATATATTAACACACATAGACTCTTTTGCCTCAGCCTCCCCAGTAGCTGAGATTACAGGCGTGCAGAACAGCATAATTTTTAATGTAACAAATTTCTTCTAGCAACAATAACAAAATTAAAATGTAGTACACTTTTGCCTGTCAAACATTCCCCATTATAGATGTCAAAATTTCCTGGGATAGGTTTTACAGAAAGAATAAATGTGTGTAGGACTGAGATTCAAAGACTGGACAGAACTTAACATATGTGTGCAGTTTAAAGTGTATGTGTGAGTTGGGCATGATAGTGCACACCTGTAATAATCCCAGGTACTCAGGAGACTGAGGCAAAAGGATCACAAGTTTGAGGTCAGGATGGGTAAGACAGTGAGACCCTGTCTAAAAACAAAGCACTGGGGCCGGGGATTTAGCTCAGTGGTTTCGCTGCCTGCTGCACAAGTGCACGGACCCGAGTTTGATCCCCGGTACCAAAAAAGAGAAAAGAACGCTCATTGGTATTTTTGTTTTGTTTTGGTACCAGAGATCGAACTCAGGACCCTGTGCTTGAGAGGCAGGCGGCAGCACCACTGAGCTAAATTCCAGGCCCTCCTAAATAATATTTTGCCATATTCGAATGTAAGTCAAAAAAGCAAATGTATATTGATCTGTATGAAAATATTCCCTCAATACATGCTAAACTTCATTAAATGCTTTCTATATCCTATACTGGTATACTAAAAGGAAAGTCATAGCATAGCTATGTGGGCACATACTCCTACAAAGAATGACCAAATTGGAAATTTGTTAAAATTACTGTTAAAAAGATTTTTTTTGGTAGTGCTGAGGATCAAAATGAGGCCCTCATGCATTCCCGGCAAGCAATGTATCACTGAGCTATTATCCAAACCCACTGTTAACGCTTTTAACTAGAATTGAGAGATTCACTTTGTGGGCATTCTGGGTGTGTGTGTGTGTACCCCAGGGCTTCATACATACTAGGCAAACTCTACCACAGCTACATCCCCAGCCCTGTTTTGAGGAAAGAATTTGAAAATTTATCTAGGCCTGGTTTGAACTTAAGATCTTCCTGCCATAGGCTCTCAGGTAGCTAGCATCATAGGTGTGTATCACTGTGCCTAGCTGAGCCACTTATTTTTTTCTGCCAGTAAAGAACTGCATTTTTTCCTGTCCTTTCATTATTTTTTTAAAGCTTTCTGTAACAGTGGAAGTAGAGACATTCTGAAATACATTCCGGATTATACTGTATAGTAACATTACTCTAACCACAATACAAGTGACTTACTATATTCAGAGACAATCTGGACCAGTTAAAATAACTCTGGCTGTAAGTTTCGTCAGCCTCAGGGCCCCTCAGGAAAACAGAAGCTCAGTTTCAGTAGAGAATCAGATGATGGAATGATGATCTCTGGAATGGACTTCCCTATAGCCAGCAGGTTTATGAAGTATTAGTTATGGGTTGTGTCAGGAGCAAAACTCCTTGACTTCAAGAAGTTAAGGGCTCGGGCCGGGGATTTAGCTCAGTGGTTCCGGCGCCTAGCTCACAAGCGCAAGGTCCTGAGTTCGATCCCCGGTACCAAAAAAAAAGAAGTTAAGGGCTGGGGATTTAGCTCAGTGGTTCTGCTGCCTGCCTCGCAAATGCAAGGTCCCAAGTTCTATCCCTGGTACCAAAACCAAAATAAAACAGGACAACAAATGATACAAAGTAGGTACCGGTATTTGAGGCAGTGCTGCTTCAAATTCAGGACACAAGAGAATGTCCAGCATTAACGTACATGGCTACATCAAAATAGCAACTGAAACTCCAGTCAGCATATGTATAATTATTTGTTTGTATCAGCCATGGTGGCACACACCTGTAAATTCTAACACTCAGGAGGCTGACGCAAGAGGATCATGAGTTCAAGGCCAGACTGGACTATGTAGCAAGACCCAGTCTCAAAAAAACAACAAAAAAAATTGTTTGTGCTAGGCAGAGACCTGTAATCCCAGTTACTCAGGAAATTGAGGCAAGAGGATTACAGATTACAAGTTCAGAGCCAATCTTGGCACCTTGGTGAGACCCTTGTCTCAGTCTTAAAAAGGGCTGAGGATGGATCAGTGGTAGAATACTTGTCTAGCATGCATGAGGCCCTGGGTTCAATCCTCAGTACTACAAACAAACAAAAACAAAAACTGTTTAGGTTTTATGAAAAGAGCACAGGCAACCTTATTAAATTCCAAGTTTTACTTTAAGTTTGGCAGAAGAGACAATTTTTTCTTTCAAGTTGAATTTTAGATTCATACCTTAAAGCAAGAAGCTCTATAAAGAAGCTGAACAACATGACCAATGCTAGTCTTAGAGGCTTGAGGAAACCGTGGCTCCAACCTCTGCACCACAAAGAGAACCAATACTTTTCTTGACAAAGCAGAACCATCTTCTAAGGCCAGGAGAACCAGCTTTAAAGCTTCCTCTTGCATCGCTAGAATTTAGACAAAACCAAAATTTATCACGTGCAGAGATACACTTTATCAGAAAAGAAATATACAATCATTTCTGCAGATATCACACAACAGAAGATATTTAACCATTTTTACTGGCAGTTTGGTCTTGCATATATTTTATTTAACAAATACACAAGTTATTCAATGCATTCATTTCAAAACTTCTCTCAAAATGAATGAACTTTGGGTATTAAAAGAAACCCCCCCCCAAAAAAAGAAAACTTTCAAAATTTCTGAAAAACTAACAGAATTACTTAAGCCAGGATTTTAAGTGGGATGTTACTTGTTAACAGAATTCACAAAGAACCAGTCTTGTACATCATTTAGGAGTTCTTACGCTACGCTTTTAGAATTTCTAGTAGAATACTGAATTTTAATTATATACCTGGTCCAAGGAACTGACAGCCCCTAGCTCTGACTGCTGCCCAAAGGTTGGAAGAGAGTTGCTGAGGATTCTGGTGCTGGAGAATGAGCTCTGTAACTGTTCGTTCACCTAAAGATCGAGCAGCTCTCATGGCACGAATTCTGCCTTCTTCCTCCACTAGTTGGCAGTGGACCAGAGTCACAAGCTTCCTTTGCATCGGGCGACTGAGAACACTCTGAGTAGTGCTATTCAAACCCACTCCTTTAGAAGAGAAGAAAGAAGTTATCTGTAGGTTTACAATGTAATTTTACAGTCGGGAGCACTTCCTCTGATGGGCTGATTGACCTGTGGGTATGTGAATAGTTCTATGTCCTACCAGAATATTTAAAATAAAGCAAGTGAAGTCTTTAGTAGCATTTTAAAATTATACATATATACATGTATTTCATGTAAACATATTCATTATGACATTCAAATATTATCATTCATTTTAATTATGGGGAGGGGGGAAAAAGGCCAGACAACATTAACAATTAGTTTAAAACCCCAATTTTTTTTTTTTTTGCCCATTAAGTTCACTGGCACATTTTAGGGATACAATACAGTTACATTCATCGTTGGGATCTTGTACCTTTACATGATGTATCTTGGTTCTTATTTTTTCCCCATTCCTCCGCCCTCCCCTCACCTCCTTCTCCCTTCCCTATTTACAAAAACTTTGTTTCCATTTTTCTCCTTTTCTCCTATTTCTTCTTTTCCCTTCTTTTTCTTTCCCCTACCCCTCCCACTTTAAAACCCAAATCTTGAGGTTCTAATAGTTCTAGTTCTAATCTTACTTTTTTAACTAAATAGTAAGTGCTTTCTGGGAAGTGATGGCAACTTCCATTTTTATTACAGTATATCTTAACACATCATTTACAGCTAGCTAAGAGATTATTCAGAACTGTCAAATGACAGAAAGCCTTTGTGTAGCACTAGTACATTTATACTTACTTTTGTCATTACTTCAAATAATGTTTCCACCATCACATTACATAAAGTAGGTTTGGTTTACACTAAATAAATGAATTTCATCAGTATTCATGTACAGCTCATAACTTTTATGGTAATGGAAGTATCTCTAGTAGATGCTTGCTTAGCATGGATAATTATAACAGATTTACCTCTAGCACTGCTGAGCGGTTTCAGGTACAATGCTAATTCTTCTACACATTTCTTGGCTTCCTCATAATGCTTTGTATCTTCAACACCACTACACAATGTAATGGGCTGCTGCTCAGGGACCTAGAGCCCAAAAGAAAAGGTCTGAATATACATTAATTAAACAAATGATTTAATGAGTACAGTTTATACACTGCTAACACAGACAACAGGAAAACTACTAAATTTACTTAATGCTTTCAAAAGACCTTTTTTTATATACAACACATTTTTGGATTGGGAATTGTACTCAGGTGCACTGAGCTACAGCACTATTTTGAGACAAGGTCTCATTAAGTTGCTCAGGCAGAGCTCAAACTTGCAATCCTCCTGCCTTTGCCTCTTGAGTAGCTGGGATCACAGGCATGTGCCACCACACCTGGCTTATTGCATTACTTTGCTTCTGTAACAGCCTCAATGAGAGATAATCTACAAACCACATGATAGGCTAAATGCAAATCAATGATTTTTAGTACCTTCCCAGGTTTTGGGTTTTTTTTTTGGTACTGGGGATTGAACTCAGGACCTTGTGCTTGTGAGGCAGGCAGCAGAACCACTGAGCTAAATCCCCGGCCCAAGTTAGTACCTTTCTAGTACCTAGTTGAAAAACCATCACCACAATCAACTTCAGATTTCTTCTTCTTCTTTTTTTTTGGCACTAAGAATTAAACACAGGGTCTTTGTGTTAAACTATCCCCCGCCCCCCAGACCTTTTGAGATAAATTTCACTAAGTTGTCAGGCTGGCTCAAACTTGTGATCCTCTTACCTCAGCCTCCCATTTTCGCTACCAGAAAGAAATCTTATATCTTATTATCATCTTCCCATCATTTCGTCCCCAATCTTATAACATCTCTTAGGAAAAACGAATCTATTTGTGATGGGTTTGCCTAATTTGGACTGAAAAAAATAGAATCCTACAATATGTGGTCTTTTCTGACCAGCCTCTTCCATTAAGCATGTCTTCAAGGACAGTCCAGCCTATAGCATTTATCAGTACTTCATTTATTTTTATTGATGAATAGAATTCCACCCTATGCATGTAAAACATTTTACTTATGAAGGCATTAACTGGCAGACATCTGGGTTTTCTATTTTTGACTAGTACCTTATGAGTAATAACATTTGCACACAAGTTGGGTTTTTTTTTGGTACCGGGGGTCGAACTTGGGACCCTGTGCTTGTGAGGCAGGTGGTGTTGTGTACAAGTTTTTACATGACATGTTTTTGTTTTTCTTGGGTATATATACCTAAGAGTGATAACTTTTTGAAAATCAGACTATTACCAAAAGTGGAGTACCATTATATAATATTTATCAAATACCTCCTACTATTATTACTGTATCAATTCTAATACATCAAAAGTAGATTTTTCATATAATTTTTTTGGCTCTAGGGATCAAATTCAGGGCCCTATGCATTCTCTTTAATTTTATCTTGAATTTACAAATAATGGTTGTATATAATGATGGGGTACAACATAAATCAGGTTAAGAAAGCTATCACCTCAGGTGCATTAAAAAATTCACTCTTTCACCAACTGTAAAGTATGAAGTGTGAAGGACTTTCAGGAAGATGGCGGAGTGGTGAACAGCAGAGAAATAGCCTGAGATTTGGAGTCCAGACACTGGAATATAGCAGAGGAAGACAAGGAGGAAGGAAGTGAGTCCCCAGAAACCAGCAAGGACCAGAGGCAAGAATTTAAACCCATGGGGAAAGTGAGTAGAGAGACTTAAATGAAGGAGGAGGTAGCAAGCAGCACTTTCTCCCTGAGCCCTGACTTACTGTGTGGGAAAGGCAGCTCGAACCTGCAGTCACACGTTGACTACTGGTGACCCCAGAGGCCTCCACAGAGAAACGCACCAGGGGAACACAGCAATGGATGAAGCAGACTGCAATGGCTGCTGAGTTACTCAGGTTCAGAGGTCCGCCAGGAGAAGGCAACTGGCCAGCAGCCATCATGGACAAGGGCCGATTGAGCTTGGAACTCAGAGGAGGTACGGGCTGGCTCCATCAAGGTGAGGTAGAACCAAGTTCAAGTTGGTAGGAGGTCAAGAAGCCAAGCTCCAGGCAGCATGGAGCCAAGTTCAAGCCGTAAGAGGCACACAGAGTGTTGTAGGCTGAACAAATCAGGTTCTAGCCTCACAGCCAGAAACCATCCTGAGTTTCAGAACGAAAGATGCAGGCTTGCTGGAATTATTCATCACTCTGCCATAAATCTATGGCTTGCTTGCTGGGATTAAATCAACATGGATCTGGGATCTGTGGACCCAATTTGTCTACCAAGGATAGCAGAGACATGCCTTGAAGCAGACATTTTTTTCCTTACTTTTTCCCTTTTTTTCTTCGTTTTTGGATTTTTTCTTCATTGTTTGTTTTTACGTAAATGTGAACATTGTTTCTAGTTTTGTTGTTCTGTTCTTGTTTTTAATTCTTCCTTCCTTCTCCCTCCTGTCTTCATTAGTTTCTCAAATTTGCATAATCTTCTATCCTCCTGCCTTCCTTCTAATCTCTTCTATTTCTCTATTTTTTCCCCTAACCCCTTTAAAATTTTCTCCCCTGAAGGTAAAATCACCATTCTGAGGGCATATATAATATACAATTTTCTGGTTTTAGCTTTTGTTATATAACCAAAAATCTAGTTCATACAGTTACAGGGGACAAATAGTTGCCACAGTTTGTCATTTTCTAGGTTGTGTTTGATGCTACTGTTATTACTGATTGTACTACTTTAGCCAAAACATCATAATTGTGCTAATCAGTTGTTCTTCCTGGTGTGCCAAGATTGAGCTTGCCTAAGAGTCATAAACAATACTATAGGCCAGTGCCAAAGAACAGGGGCTAGGCTAGACCAAATAGGCAGCAACTTCTCATCCCCAATAAATTGAAGAGGTAGGATCTTGACACAGTCTCAAGCCCAAAAGCTAGCTATGCCTAAGAAGATATCTCTGAGTAGTCATTCCCTAAGGGTTCTAAATACTAGCAATAAAGCTACTTGCCAAACACAATTTACAAGCATCAACCCAGGAATTAAATTTAAAAAAAGAAGAAAATGAGAAGACACTTAAGCAAGATGTAATCCCAAACTTCCACCTCATCACAGGCAAACCCAAGGGGCAACAAGGTAGAACAATTCTAAACCCACCCACCTGGACTTTGAACTGGTAACAGCGAATGTATCAAAGCAGATGAATGAGGCTCTAGAAAAAAATAAAATCAGAAATAGTTTCTCAGATAGAGATGGTGACCATAACGAAAGACTATTTAATTGGTTATAACTGATATATACTGACTTATCCTTGTCATGTTATTTTCCTGTTGTTGGTTCCCTCTCTTTTTCTCTGTTTAACTGTGAGGGTTCATGGAGTTGTAGTCCTCTTTCTAGAATGTCCTTCAGAACACTTTGGAGTGCTGGTTTGGTGGTCATGAATTTCTTCAGGTGTTCTTTATCATGGAAGTATCTTACTTCTTCATCAATTATGAAAGACAGCTTTGTGGGGTACATCAATCTGGGCTGGAGGTTGTTTTCTTTTAGGGCTTGAAATATTTCACTCCAAGCTCTCCTAGACTTGAGGCTTATGTTGAGAAGTCTGCTGTGATTCTGATGGGCTTTCCTTCATAGGTGATTTGTTTCTTTTCTCTAACAGCTTTTAATATTCTATTCTTTTGTCGAATTTCTGAAATCTTGACTATTATATGCCTTGGTACAGATTTCTGTTTTGATCATGACTAATTCGAGTTCTATATTCCTCACTTATCTGCATGTTAAATTCTTTTTCCCTGCTTGGGAAGTTTTCTGCCAATACTTCTGTGAACAGGTTTTTTAATGTCATTTGCACTATCTCTTGCTTTTTCATTGATGCCAGTCTTACGTTATTCTTTGCATCTTCTAGCAGCTGTTGGATTGCATTTTTGTGGTTCCTTGCTATTTTTAAGAAATCTTTCTTTTCATGATCGCTAACTACAAGCCTGTCTTTTATACCTGTTATTCTGTCCTCACATTGGCTCATTCTGCTGCATATACTTTCAACGGAATTTTTAATCTCCTGGATATCTGTTTGAATCTGTTTTATGGATTCCATTTCTTTCCTATGCTGGACGTTCATGGTTTTCATCATTCTCCTAACCGCCTCTATTTCTTTTTTTAATCTGTATCTGCTCTAGAGTGCTTCCCCGAAGGTAATGTACAAACTCAGGTCTAAGGATACTTGGATTGCCCCATGTATTTGTAAAATGGGGCAAGTGTGTGGCTTGCCAGGCCAAAGGAGGGATTCTTTTTCAAATCGTTGAATAGACGCTTCTCAGATGAAGTAGTAGAAATGGCAAATATATGAAAAAGTGTTCAACATCACTGGTAATTTGAGAGATGCAAATTAAAACAACACTGGGGTTCTATCTTACTCCAGAAAGAATGGCTGTTATCAAGAAATCAATCAATAATAAATGCTGGTGGGGTTGTTGGGAAAAAGGAACGCTTCTCCATTGCTGGTGGGAGCGTTGACTGGTGCGACCATTGTAGAAATCAGTGTGGAGATGTCTCAAGAAACTAAAACTAGAGGTTCCAGTTGATCAAGCTATTCCCCTGCTGGGTATCTTCCCAAAAGAATTAAAAACATCATACCACAGTAATATATGCCCATGGTTATAGCGGCATAGTTTGCAATAGCTAATCCTGGAAACAGCCCAAATGCCCATCAACAGATGAATGGATAAAGAAGATGTGGGTTTTTGGGGTTTTTTTGGTACTGAGGATCAAACTCAGGACCTTGCGCTTGCGAGGCAGGCACAGTGTCACTGAGCTAAATCCCCAGCCCAGATGTGGATTTTTTTATACTCTCTGCCATAAAGAAGAATGAGCTGGAGACATTTCTAGCTAAATGGATGTAGCTTGAGACCATACTCTTAAGCAAGATAAATTGCACACATGTTTAAATACTGCATTGTTTCTCTGATGTGAGAAACCAAAATTGGAAATATGGACCAAAATGTATAATAGATATTGGGAAATGGGAAAAGAATGCTGAAATTAAAAGGGAAAAAAGAGAGGGGGAAGGGGGAAAGAAGGGTCAATGAAAAAGGAGAATAG